GTCGGTGCGTCCCAGAGCCTGGAGCTCTCTGAGTGCGAGGCCCTGGACACTGGCCCGGCTGTGGCTGTGGGAGTCAGCTCTGGGCGGGGCCGGGCAGGAGGCAGCTCTGTCGGGCTTGGCATCTTGGCATGGTGTCCGGGCTCAGCCTGAATGTGCAGCCTGAGGTCTGGGTGAGAAAAGCCCTCCTCTGAGCCGGAGGTGGGTGGCAGTTGGGAAACCCGCTGGCATTCTCACTGCCCCGGGCGCTGGGCCGGGCTCGCCTCCTGGAGGTGGCTGCGGGGACACCAGCTCACGCTTCTACATTCAGGCACCTTCACACCAGAGGGCTGTGGAGCGGAGGTGGCTCTGGGAGAAGCTGGAGGCTGGGGGCCTCCTGGGTGTAGTTCTTCACCTGTGACCTTGGGCTCAGTGATCCTAAAGCTAGAATGGGGTTGGAGGCCGCAGGAAGAGCGTGAGGGCCGGGACAGGGGGCGCCTGGGTGCTGGTGAGCCCGGCCTGGGCCTGGGCCCTGGGAGGAGCTGTGTGGAGTCCGCCTGTCTCTGGCCATTACTTTGCGGTGGGGGAACAGCACCTGCCTTCCTCCCAGGGTGCGGGGACGGCTCCTCACCGCCCGTCTGTGTTTCAGGACGCGCTGAGGCTTCCTCCCGAGAAGATGGCAGCCCTGCACACGGCGCCGGGCTCCCCGGCTGCCCAGCCGGAGCGGGCGGAGGACGGGTCAGAATGCAATCCTGAGCAGGAGGAAGAGGAGGAAGAGGAGAAGGGGGAAGAGGCGGAGGAGCTGGAGGAGGAGATCGAGGTGGAAGAAGAGGAAGACGAGGACATGGTGGAGGTGGTGGAGGAGTTTTCTGCCACCGGGTCGCGGGCAGGGCGAGGATGGCCGGTGGAGCAGGTGGCGGCGGAGTTGCAGGAGGACCAGGACGTGGAGGTGGTGGCAGAGGAGCGGAGTCCAGCGTTGGGGACCCAGGCGCGCCTGAGCCGTGGTGGTGCCAAGTCCCCAGTTCTGCAGGAAAAGAGTGAGAGAAGGGAGCTGGCCCTTGGGAGGGGAGGAGG